CTGGGCGTTGTCTCCGCCACCGACAAGGCTGCAAGTTGATGCACACGTGAGAGAGAAAGGCGACGAGATTTGGTGATGTAGACCGCATGGGTGGGGAGAAGTGGAGACCAAATTGGAATCCTTCATGCTGTGGAGCGCTAAGTGAGGTGTGAATGATGGCATCGCTCTTCACCAGCACTCGGATGCAAGTCAACTCTCATTTGTGTGACGGCGAGCAGTGAGCAAAGACTGATGCAAGTGTGAGGGTGGAGGTCCGGCAAGTGTGTGGAGGTTGTTGTGTTGGCAGTGTGTGAGGGGATGCTGAGGGGGATGAGGCGAAGAAGACTAGGTGACTGTCACAGTAAAGTGAGAGAGGACGGTGGTTTTGCACTGCCTCAATGCAGATGCTGGAGGTGCATCTGTCATAATGGTATGCGTGTGGGCGACAGCCTCAATTTGAGTGCCTCGAAAGGCAGACATTGAGAACGGTGGTGGGAGGCATCGAAGACTGTTGGTGCATGAGTGGAAAGGCGCAGATGTGCTGATGTTTCGAGACCTGATGAGGTGGTGTTGCAATAAATATAGGAGGAGGAGGAGGAGGGGAAGAATAGCATAGTGAGGGTCAAGTAGTGACCTTCAAGAGCTCTTTTCTGCGTGTTTCCTAAATAGCAGTGGCTCACAAATCAAACTCGTGCAATAATGATGTCACGTTTACATCTGTAATGCCACAGTGACTAACAAACCGAGTAGCGACAAAAAAGGTGTTGGCATTGATGCCTCATCCTCCAATTGCGGAAAGAGGCGCAACGACTTGTGCAAGTCGGAAGAGACAGTGAAATGCACGCATGTGCACCACAACTCACCGAGCTGCAGGAGACACGCATAGGTGGTGGTGATGTGTGAAGGAAGTGGTGGTGGATGCACACTTGTGAAGAGGTGGACGCATGAGTTGAGGCGTGTCGAGTTGGCTGAGTGGTTTGCACCCTTCCCAAGCACTAGACGAAAGGAGTGGCAAAGCGTGGTGGAGGAGAGGTGGCACGGAATTGTGTGAGAAGGTGTTGCCTAGCAGTTGGCATCGCTGCGTTGAAACAGGGGATAGACAGAGGCCATGGCTCATCGTCTATGGCATTGTTAATGTCGCATTTACAGGGGCATGATTGCCTTCACTCAGGCAATTGACTTCGTCAGCATCTTCTTCTCCAAGTACACGGCAATGAAATCACACACTCTGAGTCAGCGCACGCTTTTGGCATCCACTTGGTGATCGTTTTGTGCCTTCCATACAGACTCTTGCCTTGGGTTTTTTCTCATCTCTTTTACTTCTTGTCGTGGGAGTGAAGTTGTTGCAAATTTGATCGCCCTTTTACCCCTTTTCGAAGCAGACGGCTCTTTGTATCGCCTTTTAAACTTTGAACAGTTATTGACCTCATATAAATTTTCTAACATCTAAATGGATATCGTCATCGTCGTTGTAACCGATTTCACCATGAAAGTAATTTCCAGCTCTACTTTAACGTCCTGTGGTTGAATGTTGTCATTTTTTTTTTTGCAAACCGTGGTGTTACTTGGCAGTCAGGCGAAATGACATGTGCGTTTTGCTTTGTTTTTTTTTTTCTTAAATTCTTGGGCGTCTTATCGACTAATGCATTTGTGGAGAGCGACAATCTCCACCCTCTACTAATTCCATTACCCCAACGTTATAGCAACAGGCACTTAAAATTTATCCATAAGCTGTGCTGACCCACAAGAAGTGACGCGGAGCTGCGTGTTTAGGCGAGACCGACAGCATCAGTGGTTTACAAATTTGACTTGTAAATTAGGCAATTATGTTCTCCCGCCTTTGTTCCGCTCCCACCCCCCCCCCTCCACCTTAACACCGGAAAATAATAACTTTACAAGGTCAAATCTGCGTTGAGAATGCATGGAATTGTGAATCATCATCTTTTCTGCTTGACCTCGGCTCCACACGGGAGGTTGGCCTCCTTTAGGCACTCACTTGAAGAAGCGGGTGTGAGGAGGGGTGTAGTTGTGGGGCGGGGAGGGGGGGGGACGAAGGGGGAAGTGGGAGCTAACTCGCATCCCCTCAGGGTCACAACGGTTTTCTCTGATCGGACTTTCGCTCCTCACCGATAAGGCGCATTTTAAGCAATTTTGTGCATATAGTAATTACAATTTTTATACTTTTTTTTTAACCATAAAACTTTCAATGATTATTTACTTGAAACCTCGGCCTCATTGGAATGAAGTAGGTGGTGCTTTTGTTTGGCTTACTTTAACAGTTAAAGAGGAATGCTGCTACATTCTGATCGGCTGTTCCTTTGAACAGAGGTGGCCTTTTGAATGAGCGGGGCGCTTCACCTCATCAAACACCTCCATACGTTTGTTTTTTACTTTCCTGCATGCTTCTCCACTCTTGACAAGGCATTTGTCAAAACGCTGGTAAGCATTCACCAAACTGAGGAAAGTGGGGAGCTCTGTTTGGTTGGTTGGTGGTGGTCAAGTCCACACTTGTCTTGCATGGCCTTCGGTGATTGTCATTTACCTCAGCAGAGGCTGTGTTACCCAAGAAGGCGACAGAGGTTCGAAATGAACAGCACTTCTTTTGGTTCTTTGTCAAAAATGCCACTCCTGAACGATCCAACACTAATCGGAGGTTGGAGTTGTGTTGTTGCCTGCACTAGCCGTCCTGATGTGATCGCGAAGTCGCAAAGTCCAAACGGCATTGTTTGGAATCACTAAATACCTTTTCTTTCAAATAAAAGCCGTTTTTCCTGACATTTTACCGCTACGTAGCCAAAGATGAAGTCGCCATCAACTTACAGACCGAAGAGTCTTGGAAAGGCAACGCCTTGGAAGTCCTCTTTGCTAAACCTATGAAATTCCTTCTTTACAGATATCCTTCTGCACCTTCGATGTCGCAGAGCTCACCTGAAGGCGACTACGTCTACGAAATTCCCGGTCTTGCAAGCGTAAGTGGAGGGAGAGGAGAGACAACATTCCTACCCGCTTTAGCACGCCCTCAAACCATTTATTTTATCCTTTTTTTTAGCCAGGAGATGAAAAGGAGGTGAAAAATCCCCTCTACGACAAATAAATGTCACCTTTGGATGACAGTGCGCTCACTGGAGCACTCCATTTGCTTATTCCAAATTGATGCTACCGTCTAGAATTGCTCTGTGCATTCCTCCATTGCAGTCGTCTAGTTTCATTTTGACAGGATCCCTCGCAAATTGTCAACAACACTAACAACAATATTTAGTATTTAAGAGTAAATTCCATTCACGTGTATGTCTGTGAACATTGACATGTTCATAATGATGGGGTGAGTTGACTGGAGTTCCTTTTTTGCCTCACATGTTGGATGCATAGTTTTGTGAAAATGTGAGACTTCAAACGCCCAATGCGTGGTAGACGGAATTACACTTTCCAAGAGGAGCACGAGAAAGGTGACAATCAGAGTGTAAGAGTAGAAAAGTTGAAAGGTTTTTGTTATTGTTCTACTTTAGTGTGCGGCTTGGCGTTTGGTTTTGTGCACCCGAGGAATGGCCGGAAGCTTCCGGTTTCGGTTGTGGAAGGCAGGTTTTGGTCAATACGCTGTGCTTTACACATTAGCAAGAGTGCAAAAGCTGTTGCTTCTAATAGTTTGACTTCTGTACATGTCTTTTGTGAGAATGAGAATTTCATGACCTATGCCTTAAAGGAAGGAGTGATGCTGCAAACGATTGTGCTATAAAGTTGCATCAGAGGGTGGAGCATCTATTATTCCGTCCAGCAATCGAAAACGAGTGATGTCTACACGACCCGGCTTTTGGCCCCTTTAATACGTACTAGGAAGACTCAGATCTCCACATCGATGATAAGTAGGAGAAACACATTGACTTTATTTTAGTTTCCACCATTTGCAACAAAATATCGTGGTTAGGATGAAGCATATATGCTTCCGAGGACTGAGACATGGCAACTGCTTTCGTCATCCACACCTTTCCTGTATTCCACAGGCAAGCGAGACCAATCGTGAACTGCGTGAATAAGTTTTGGTTTTGAGTTCTCTCCTCCAGGGATTGTATGCCGGTGTTGGCAATGCGAAGTCACGCTAAATCCTTCCATCCGAAATTGAGTCAAATCCCGTAATTGCATGTCTAAATTTCGAAATATGTTAGAGTGTAACATTAGTCTATGAATGCTGTTTTTGAACCTCGATGTTTAGAAAAAGCAGCTCTCCTCGTGTATATGGGAATTGATGATTGACGCTAGTGGTTCGTGAATGGTTCCATTGGGTAGACTGGCACTCGGACAATGCCGAAAGCTCTACTTCTTACCATCTGTCTAGGCGTAAATAATAAGCCAAGTATCGGACATTCTACAATAATAACAAATAGCTCGAGACACTACCATAAGGTCTGGAGACTTCCAATTTGACAGAAGAAGGCATTGGGTACTATACTTTGTTCTAGGAGTGCAACGGTTACTTTGGGATTCGTCTAAAACTTGTGCTCGTTGGCTGGCCTTCAAATTAAGCCGAAGCCCATTGCCCTCTTCTCCCAGAATCCAGGTACCAGTCCCTAACGTAATGCCTTCCTCTACTCGGCAGGAAGCCTCAGGACACTACATCGGCAGTGACTACATTAGCAACTTTAGACTTCACGTTGGATAGAATATATGTATTCTGAGGGAAGAAGAAGGGATGGAGCCATGGCATGGTCTAAAGGTCAGCCAACGTGTACAAGGGCCACACTGTAGCGTTCCGAGACCTCCTGGCCGGTAATAAGAAGTCAGTAAGTGCAGTTGGATAAATGTATTCTTAAGACAACAGGTCAACTTGGTCTAAGCATGGCCCGAAGGCTGGCTCACATATACAAGGTCTAGGCAAATCCTAAAGTGACCACCAAACTTCATGAACAATATACCACAGGATAAATATTTATAATCATACATAAATGATAGAAGAGAGTTAGCCAGCCAATACCGTGGGAGCAAAGTAAATGATAGAATGACCGCCAAGCATACAGCAGACCATAGAGACATAGAAATGATTAGATCTTTTTATCCAGCACAAGATTTCACGCAAACAGATCATCCACTTCGTGAACTGTATTTTATCATAGTGTAGTAAGTCGATTCGAGATCGTCCTAGTAAATCAATTAAATTTGGATCAAATCTTCTAAAATACATTAAATTTTTTCCCAGATTTATGGGAATATTATCTACTAAAGCATGAAAGCGTACCATGCTATTAGGTCCAAAATTTTTATAACTAAAAGGAGTTTGTAGGTTTTTTTATGATACAAATCAAATCAGTACCTGTATCTAAAGGTTAGGAAGTAATGGTAATACATTTTGAAAGCTTAAGCTGGCACTGGTTTTGTTCAATTGGCCAAGCCCAAGGAAAAATTGATTGGTTATAACCGAATGTCTTTGAGCTGCTGAAGTGGTATGGTATCAAAAATAGCCTATTGTCTGTTGAGCTATGTCTCATTCGGGAGATGAGGTTTGATGGTATTCGTTTGTTGATTTTTAGTCTGGGGAGGAAAATTCTTCAGCTTACTTTGAACCCATCGTCTCACGCCCTTTGATCGACGTTAAAACTCTTGAGGAGGATGAAGCATGCCTTTTCAGAGCGTATGTTCTTCTCTGTTCCCAATAATAGATAAATTAGTCGGGCGAAACTTTTCCGCTTTGATGCCAAATCAAACGAACCTGAGTGGAAAGAAAGGGGGACGGGGGAACTCAAAATTCTTAGAAACTTCACTACGCCTCACTGTCGAATCATCATGCGTCGAGACAAGACGTTGAAGGCATGCACTTTTTTTATACGCGATAGTTATGTACGAGTTTTGAAACTCATCATTTTCTTCGCCTTTTTAGATTTGTGCAAATCATTACATCCTTTCCTGTATGGAATTGCAACCAGTCACGGGTTCGAATAGAGGTTTCATTTGGAAGGCTCCTAACGATTTTGCGGATAAGGAGATAAAAGCCGAAATTTTGGGTGTTCGATTTGCAAACGCCGAAAGTATTCATTTAGTTATGCGTTCAAACATGTTCTTTTGCAGTTGCACTGGAATTCAAGAAGGTTTTTAACAACTGCAAGCAGTCGTTGTATGGGCTTTCAGATCAACCAGGTAATTCAAATTCTTGCATCACCCGAATAGTGTTCATCTTCTTTGCGCTTCGGTCACTCCATTTTGTTCTATTTGTAGCAAAGTGTTCCGATAGTGCTGTGGTAGAGCCAGTTAGGGCTACTGATAAGAAAACTTATTCTACGGCTCCAGGTTGTGAATCAAAGGCTGCAGCGGATCAGTTGACGGATAGATTGTCCAAAATTCAACTTCAGTCAACGATGGAAAACCAGTCAGTTGACGTGGCAGCTCATTAACTATTTTATTTGCGCAATTTTTTTCTGCAAAATTCTAATTCGCACAGCTTTTCATCAGGGTCACATTTGCAGTAATAAACTTAAATTTGCCTAAGCATCTTGCTATTAAGCCTAATTGTGCGCTGCTGGAGGTTGAGGAGCTTCTTTCAACCTCATCTTTCTCCTCTTGGGCTCAGCCTCTTCAGAATAATCGAGTTCCACCACCGAGTGCTTGTCGTAGATTTGAGTGTTTACGACCGATGGTGGGTAAAGACCTGGCATAAGTGGGAGCATCTGGTGCACTTTCGGTCACACGGGTCATAGTGGCTGTGATGAATGATGTTCGAGCTTTCAATGTGATCTCGAGGTTCTTTTTAGCGTCCCAGGCCCCAGGAGAGGTCGGACATTTTTCATGTATAGTTTCGGCGAAAATGTGACTTCTAGTTATCTAATGCGAGCGTTTGGTCGCAAATCTCAGTCATCTATTTTTCATTTCCCGCCTTACCTTGTTCTGCATCGAAAACCTGTTCTATTTATGTCGAATTGATACCGTTTTGTCCCATGTGATGCTGGTTGTTTTAAGTCTACGACTTGATTTCAAACTATAACAAGTACAACATAGTCCCAGATAAACTTATTTGGAAAGTTTAACCAAAATCGAGGAGTGTGTTGACCTTGGCATGGTGACATTTTGTACAAAATCTACACGCATTTCTGACTATGGTGTAGGTTGCATGAAAGTCTCATTCCCTTCTACTCACACTGTATAAAGAGTAAGAGTAAATAGGCGTTTGTAATCGGGTGGTTTCGAATGAGAAATTCGATGTCTTCCGCGGGGAGAGGAAAGACTACCAACGCAATCACCCCTGAAACTCCTTGGGAAGGGATCCTACTCGGTAACGTGGCGTCAGTTTTGTTTAATTAGCCATCAGTTAGAACGATACATCATTGTGGAGAAATGCTTGCATTCGATTATTCCTCCTAAATCGTCTGATGGTTTTACAAAATTTGGCTGGGATATGATTAGATTGGAGCTTATCTCGGTATGCTGTTGACCTCTGTCCTGCGAGTTGATTTTAGGCTCTTTTAGTATAAAAGTTTTTCACAGCGGATGCCACTCGGAGGTGTCTCAAGAAATTCTTTTAGAGATGGAGAGATGGGGCTGGCATCGACGTTGCTGCAGGCAGTTGCATCTCGTTTCACGAACTTACTGTCTGGTTAGGCAAACAAAGCATTATTCTCCAAGTAAAAACAATCTGCTGGTGTTGGTGCATAGCTGTAGGTAATTAAGCATTTGAAACCCTGTGAGTTGGGCAGATTCTATCACCCCGTTAAGCAAATCGGGGTGGCGCCTTTTTTTTCCGCAAGGCAGTGAAAATCGCTTTGCCTTTACACTGACTGAATGCGTCATTTTCTGCATTCTGCTCCCAACCTCATTACTTGAGTAACCAAGTTATGCAGCCTCTACCCCAAGAAATGGAACAAATAAAACTTTGGTGGGGTTAAGGGGTGACCATCCTGTTTATGTCTTGGTTTAATGCTCTGTGCGTGTATATCAAATCGGTGATTTTATTACATGCCTGTCAAATTGTTTGTTATCTGATTTATTTACCGTTCATTTAAAACCCAGTTACAGTTAAAGATGAAAAGTTTGACCATCATGTCTTCTCCAAGCGTGCTGGAAAGTGAACCACGAAAACAATCCCAAAGCCATTCGATGAGAAGAGGACCCATACTTTTCTAGAGTACTATACCAGTCTTTAAAGGTATCTTGAAGTACAAAAGGCAGCTGCATTGGTGTGGCGGACTGAGATTTCTTCCAAAGCAGCAGAATGCACATTAAACAAGTTTAAAAAATATTTAAGATGGGATTTGGCATGAACTTGATGTCGGTCTACTCGAATACCGTCAATTGTAACTTCTCGGGTGCAACACTTTGCCATCGCCAGTAAGTCAATTAATAACTTTGGTTTTAGTCTTGCTCTTATAGGCTTGAGCTAGGCCAAAGCACAATATCTCTGTTTTCTTCTCGAAAACATACTGTTGAGGTCAAAGTAATGCCTACATCCATTTGGTGAAAAGTTTCGGAACGCTGCATTAGGATTACTTAATGTGACCGTAAAATTTAACCACAGGTGGAAGTGCGAGAAGTCTAATGCTTTGGTTGGCGATCGCCAGCATGGGGTGGCTTTTGAGCCAAGCTATATGCAGTATTACTACGTTCGCCTAAATTGCATGCATTAAGCATAAATTAACGCCTTCTTTGCCTAGTAAAGATCCTCGGAACAGCACAAAGCATTTGGCATGGCGAAGCTCATGTCACAAAAAACAAGATAACTCATAAAGTAGCCAAATAACTATACTCTTTGTGTTAATTTATTTTGTTGATAAAGCGGTAGAAGTTACAGGATGATTTAAAACACATTTTTAATTCTGCGAAAGTTATGGGGGGGTGGTTTTTCGCATACAGATTACAACCATATGCACTGTTAAGCGCTTTAAAATGTGTTTACAATAATGATATGCATTTAAACCTCAAATTATTAAATGTTTCACCACGACAAATATTCTGCACAATACAACTTTAAGTAGTTTTGTTTAACTTAACCACTGTACTGAGTTATTGCACACGGTATCTACTGTTCCGCAGGTTTTGATAATGAGCAAGCCCAAGGTTGGAATTAATGGTTTCGGGAGAATTGGACGTCTTGTTCTCCGGTCTGCCATATGCAAGGGGACCGTAGATGTCTGTGCCATTAATGACCCTTTTATTGACCTCACTTATATGGTGTATATGTTTAAATATGATTCCACTCATGGTCCATTTATCGGAGAAGTAAAGGAAAAGGACGGGAAATTGGTAATCAATGGTCATTCGATCTCCGTTTATAAAGAATTGAACGCTGAGGCCATCCCTTGGGACAAGGATGGCGTTTACTATGTTGTCGAATCTACAGGTGTAAACACTGATATGGCCAAAGCTGGTGCCCATTTGAAAAACAATCGTGCTAAGAAGGTTGTGATTTCTGCACCATCTAAGGACGCTCCAACATTTGTTGTTGGAGTTAATTTGGATAAATACGACCCCTCTATGGCAATAGTTTCAAATGCCTCCTGCACCACAAATTGTTTAGCTCCGTTAGCTAAAGTAATTCATGACAATTTTGGGATCGTAGAAGGTCTAATGACAACAGTTCATTCCTACACAGCAACTCAAAAGTTGGTGGATGGTCCAAATCCAAAAGGATGGCGTGATGGTCGTGCCGGTGCCTTAAATATCATTCCAGCGCAAACTGGAGCTGCTAAAGCCGTCACAAAAGTCATTCCTGAGCTCCAAGGGAAGTTGACAGGTATGGCTTTTCGAGTGCCAACTCCCGATGTCTCTGTGGTCGATTTAACCTGTAAGCTTGCTAAACCTGCCACTTATGAACAAATCAAAGAGGTGGTTAGAAATGCTTCCCAAAGTCCAGCCTTGAAGGGAATTCTGGATTACACCGATGAAGATGTTGTAAGCATGGACTTTCGCACTAGCACTGCGTCATCTACTTTTGATGCAAATGCAGGAATATCACTAAACGATACTTTCGTAAAACTCATTTCCTGGTATGACAATGAGTATGGTTACAGTTGTCGTGTGATTGATCTCATTACGTACATGTATTCCAAAGACAACTAATTCTACCGTTGGTCCTCGTTCACCAATAAATGCACAAATGTGCTGTTTAACATTTACTGATGTTTTTATTAGGATGCGTTAGATCAGAAAAGGTTTAGTGTAAGCCTCAAAAAAGTCTGTTTTTGCAGAGTTCGTAGGTCATATGACAATATTCCATGCCATTTATCTGAATGTCAAAGATTAAAAATGTTCGAAGGTATGTTAATACGTTCTTCGATTTAAAGTGAAGTCAATTCCATATTATATCGTCAGATTAAAACTTTTAAATTGCCATACATTTATAAGAGCATAGTTCTTATTGAATGCAGTAGTATGATCTAAAGAAAATACACAATTACTTGAAAATTTTTGACATCTTAAAATAAAATTGAAAGTAGATTTAGCATTGTCTCGCTGCATTCAGCAGTTATCGAAAAAAAAAAATTTTCAAGTAGTCCATGAACTGCCTCAAAACAGTGGTAACGCCTACCGAGAGACAGTTTATATATGGCATGCATTAGTCCGCTCATCAGCAATAAAAAAGAACCCCCCTGCGTAATCATAAGCTATGCCCGTTCATGCCACATCACCCACAAACTCTTCACCCAGAATTAGGGGTCGACCTCTTGCTTGACCTCTATCAGGTAAAGGCGTCCTAACAGGAAACTGTTGCTTCAGTCCACCGCACGCCCAAGCATACGGATTCAGAGACAAATCAAGTAGCTGCCTTGGTGTAGTAGTGCGTGTCTTAGTAGCCCCTAAGTGGGCAGGTGGACAGGTGCGCAAATGAGAGTGGATGGCCTGCTTAATGAACGCCCTAAAACAATATAGTGAACTACAACACGATGATATGCCATAAAACCGACTTTGTTGAAAATCAACATTATAATGCAGTGCTTAGTGTGCAGCCACAAAAATATGAGCTCGAATCTGCCGAAACCGTGAGCTGATCGGTTTATCACTCGGGTTAAGTATTGTCAAAATTATCTTAAATGACTCAACAGCCAATCAGGAGTGAAAAGCATGAACCTGAATAAACAGATCAAGGTGCAATCACCCTCCAATTGAATCACTCCCTACCGCCTTGTCAAGACCTCGAAAACACCTATTATTAGAAATGTGATCTAAGACACCTCCATCAGAAAGTTAAAAGTTCCAATGCAGTCGTAACAAGGCATCTTTACAAAGCGTGAAATAAGAACTCATAGTTAGGAGGAAATAAAGAATGAGCATGAGAGATACTGAGAAATAAAAGGATGTCGAAATTTCAAATGCAGAAACATTCTTCAGTTGTTAGAAATTCATGACTTAGAAAAAAATGCATATCAACAAGGAAAATTGGGATTCAGCAGCAGATAATATGTGCAGGAAGCGCTATTCTCCCACTACAGCATTGATGTTGCAGTTTCGGTGGTAGTTGCTACCTGTTGAATCAGTCCATCATTTCCCACTGTACTCTCCACAACCCTCCTTCGTCGGTGGGCTCGTCCAACCAACTGTGCATCTACCACTAGACTCTCCGGGCTGGTCTGCGGTTTCTCCACAAATCGGTCAATCACATAGAGACGTTGTTTGCAGTCTCGGTAGCGATTATACTCACTCCGCAATCCATCGCGATCCCGTTTCGATGGTGGATGGTCTATGAAAGATCATAGTGACAAGAAAAAAGGAAGAATTTACTCGTCGCTTCTTGGACCCGTTTTTCGTAGTCGTGAAGGAAGCGTTGGAGTTTGTGTTTCACTGACAAAATTTCCGCTCGTCCACGAGTCAGTTCATTTGAATCCAGCCGCCTTGCAAGTTGAATGAACTCAAGAAGGGTGAGTTCCCAATTCAAGAAAATTGAAGATGGAGGTTCTGCACCATTGCTTATCAAAGAAGCGGTTTGATCTGTCTCCGTTTGAGAAAAGTTGGTTGATGATGTTCCTAGAAGGGTCTCTGGCATTAATGATTGTTCAAGGTTCATTAAGGGTTCAGGCTCCGCTACTTCGTCCGCTTCAGCTGTCCGTGTTCTGACGGCATCGGTAGAGGGTCGCGGGGCCGAACCACCGGAGCGTCCACGACTGAGACGAACAGCTGAATTAGAGGCGAGGCGAACCATTCGACGCACACAACGGTAGCGATCGTAGATAGGCTTCATAACTCGTTTTGTAATGGGATCCGATGGTCGACCCTTCGCCTTCTCGAAGTAAAGCAGACATTTCTGCAGATCCAGTTTCTCTTGTGCCAACTAGAAAGGAAGAAATATGATACGATACATGAATGGACAGAATAGTGGACGGGTGACAGAGCGAACAAATAATTCCGTGAAACTATTTCAGGATAAAATGACAAAGAGACGGCAGAATAAATGGACCTAGAAGTTTGAGATAAATTGAAAGGCTCGAAAGAGGCGTAAAGCTAGGAAGACCAAAGGTGGAGAATTGTGCATGATCAATTGAGGGGAACGAATTGTTGGATGGATCTCGGAGGAAGAGGTGGAGAGATTCGGGGGCCGCTAAAAACATCGGCGTTGATGCGTTGATGAGATGCAAATGAGGACACCATAACGGCGAATTAAGAGAATCCGGGAGTTGCATTGGCATAAACGCCAGGAGAATTACCGACTCAGGATGCACACGTGGCTTCTAGAGGTATTTGTTTAGGCAAAACGTAAATAAACAGATTAGATAGAAGTGAATAACTCTGCAACGGGTGAATGAATTGACAATCGACGGAGGAATGAGGCATGAAAGGATGTGGTGATAATGAGTGGATCAGGATTGAGTAAGAGTATGAGGATCGGTTTCAGAGGCAGACAAGGAATAGGTATGATAAACTGAAAATAGGTGAAACAGAAATAAGTCTTCAAATTGACGTGTCTAGGAAGTGGATAAGCGACTCACCTCCGCCGAGGACATTTGTTCAACATCCTCTGGACGTTGGCACTCCTTTCGTCGGGTTTCCAAAACCGCTTGCAGGACAGTAAGGAATCCCGCCACCTCAAGGTGAATGGGATCAGGTAGACTAATGTCCAAACTCGACGAGGGCTCCACCAGACGCACTTTAGAGGCACCGGAAAATATGGGAGCTTCACCTCCACTCGGCTGACCTGTCAACGGAATGCAGACATCCAAAGATCGTCGATTGCGTAGCTGTGGTGGAAAATCGGAAACAGTACCGTCATTATCCGATATGGCACCTATCAAAAGAAAACGAGCATCCAACTCACTCTGCTAAGGATGTTTCGCTTCCTCGGCCAAGTTAAAATGTGACGAGGTTGAGGAGTGACAGATTGACAAACGGGATTTGCAATGAGTACACGAGGTGGAAGGAGTGGTTGAAGCGGGGGGATATAGACATCTGAGGGATGAATGAAACAAACATTGGCTTCCGCAGAAGGGGGTGTTCGGAACTCCCCAAGAGCATCCTCTACGCCGTCAAAGTCGAGGTAGTTCAGCACGCCGTGATGAAGGCGACTAGTTAATTCGTTATGCTGGAACGCAATAGAGCTTATCAAAAGCAATGGTGGAGGATGGATGTTTGCAGGAGGTCTCAAGGACTCACACTGACAGGTCTAAGCGTTATCGCCTCTCAACGACTTCGATAAGGCGTGCCTTCACAAGTTAAGCCAACGCGTAACAAGAGAAAATTCAATGGACCCCTTTCATCTTGACAACTATTGTACTGCTGTGGTCACGCGTTAGCAACAAGCTATTCAACGTCCCGGTACTTAATACGACATAATTTTGGGGAGTTTCAAAATCGATGTCCGATTCATTTGTTTTTTTTAAAATATACTTTTAAAGGGACAAGGTAAGTGAAAAAAAAGCATAACTACGAGTACGGCTAAACAATGCGTCCAAAAGACTTCGGCCAACAGCTCAACCAATCGGTTGCACTTGACACCTTCATAGCCCTTAACAAAAGTTGATGCTATTTTTTATGAATTGGTAAAAATTTCTGTTAAATAGGAGTAACTCAGCAGAGCCAACCGATCGTCAAACAAGTCAAACACCGAGTCACACGCAAAGTAGCCGCCTTCAGTAAAAGGGAAGTGTTTTGAGATTCCCTTCGGCCTGGGGCAAATTAAGTCTACAAGTGATGGGAGTTGTAAATCTTGACAGCAGCATGAAGACACAGGCAATGCAACCACAGGCTAAAAACGCCTTTTGGGGTGCTACCGATAAATGGTTTTACCTGTTTGGGGGATGAAAAGACATGCGATGGACGATATTTGGCTCGAGGAAAGTGGTGGGTGAAGGGGGTGGTGGACGATGCGCCCTCCTTCCCCTCTTCCACGTGTTTTGCGTCTTCATCCTCCTCGTCTGCATCGGATGTCGGGAAGGCGGAATGCACATCATCCACTATGGACTAAGACAGAATAAAACATTACGATTGACTAAAATTAAAAAAGAAAAAAACTCAACCTTAACATTTTGCAGCAATCAGTTGCCTTGTAATCAGGATGCCGTACAATAAGATCGTGACAACTCTTCGACTCCTCCAACGCAAACTCGAGAGGACAAACAGAATCGCAGTAACCAAGAGGATCCCCTACTTCGCCCTACAGGTGGATAAGCCTTGTTTTATGAGCTTCCAAACTTGAAGGACTACAGATTTGTTTGTAAAAATAACCTTATGCACACACGAACACACAGGCACACCTGTGTTCCGTGCACGCACAAGGACAAAAATGCAACTAAACTGCTAGTCGTCAGGGGAGAGACGATGCACAAAAAAGTAGACTCCACTCAACAAGCAATAAAGCAAGGTGACGAAAAATGATTGCCTCCTCTCCTCCCCCCAAAAAAAAATTAAATAAGCAATCATTTGAAAGAAAACGTGGACGCGCAGCACCTCGGTGATCAAGTGTTAGGCATGAATGTCGGTGTAGTTAGGCCTCCTCAAGTCCTCACATTCCATACACGCCCCTCATATTCTCTCCTGTGGCCTGCTTCCAGCAGAGACGATTCACTCTCTCCTCTCACCCCCGGGCCTTGGAGCGGATGTTACAAATCAAAACAACCGTTACAACAGAACTGCAACCGCATGCTTGGTGGGTGACCATGCGAAACATTTACCGCTTCCTCCACCGCATGACCTTGAGTCATCATCCAAGCGTCAACACTTACAGTGGCCGAGAGAATGGAGAAGACGTTCTCTCAGCTCACCACGTAACGTTTAATGTTCAGCAAAAAACAGGTGTGCGAAATTATTTGCACAGGGGAAACTGCAAAAAGAAGTAGAATTGCTGGGTTGGGGTCGAAGGTGAGCACATCCAAGTTCCGATTCGACACTGAACTCCCAACTTATTCACCTCTCTGATTGCATAAATCTATTTTTTTTTAATTATTTAAGGCGTCCACGGGTAACAGTCTTCTACCCAATTTCATCCAACAAAAAGTAATGCCAACTTTGAGCAGTTGGAAAAACACTGGTCTTTCATTCAGTCATGAGATTTGTTCGAGTACGAGACAAATGTCTTCACTGAACCCGCTCAAAGCAGAATGGATAGGCAGAAGGTGTCAGCGATAAGGAAGGGACAAATTTTGTGGTGAAGTGACAGGTGAAGGAGATGGGCCTGCTATTGTCACTTAATAAAATTGCATCCAGTCCATCCTACACGTCCTCCACATTCGTCAAAGGATCAAAACCAAACGCCACAGTAAGCAAGGCTAAAGCCGAGTTTCGACAACAAAAATGCGCTGACATCGTCAGAGTCTAGACTGTCTACGTCTACAAGCAACAGCGACAAAATCAGCTCCCACAAATATGGCAGTAACTAATGCTGAGGTTGGCTGTCAAAACGACATCCCGCAGGTTGTTGACCTAGTGAACTCACAGGGCATGGAGTAAGGGATGAACCACCGCTAAGGATTTATGACAGGATGTGACAGCCGTAAGAGATGCGAGTGTCCTACAAAAAGTGTGCCAAACAAGACAACAAACAATGGAAGGCCATAGGATGAGGCTTCAAGAAGGCATTTAATGTTACGCAGCTCAATGAAGTGGATGCCTTTTCAAGACAAAACGGTTGACAGAAAATACAATTTAAGAATACTGTTTTGCCTTAAATAATGTCCTCCTTTGGAAAAAAAGACTACTATAATGCTAAAAAGGACGAAAACAATGGAGACTCACAAACTTGTTGAAGACTTCTAATCATTATTTCGCATTTCTATAAACGATGGTGGTTGCAATTTTAACCACTACGTCAAGATTGCTGACAAAACGAGGCTCTCAAGGAAATGAAAATCGCTATGGAAGAAGGAGGGGACAGACGGAATCTCCACACACGAATCATTGCCCTCCGTCTCAAATACCACAACTGCTCGAAGCAAACATAAGTGCTGCCTTATTTCAATTCTGGCTATGAAAAGCACGACACTTTCTCCACTAATTGTAAGGGTTTAGTGACAAGAAAAAGGCATCCCTTTCTTCACAAGCACAGGGCACGACGTTTATGCCGCATCGCTCGTACAATCCTCACCCGGCACTGGTTGTTCGGCCGCTTATTTGACCTCCATCGGGTGAAGGCTGTCCGACAGACAAATGTTGTTCTAGTGTGCTGCATGGACAAACATACAGACACAGACAAAACAAGCATTTTCTCCAGTGTAGCGGTGTGCGGTTTAGCAAGTGTCAGACAAGGGGATGCTGTCACGGACCTTTTTCTCGCCTGAGGAGCGCTCCGGCACAGTGCTGCAAAACGCAGCACGATGAAGGATCCTCAAAGCCATTCGTCTTCGCAAGTTAAGGGAGGCCTACCAGTAAACCCTGTCTGTCCGTCTGCTGGTAATTTGGCGACCGAAGACACGACAAATTATCCAATACATGCACACAAAAGAAGTGAGAGCCAATGGATCGCCTGTCTGTCATCTGATATTCATGTAGGACTCCACAACTTCCCACCTTCACTTGACAATGTTGCGAGTTGTGCCATATTTTAAGCACACTAATGAATATTCTTCGTTATACTGTTTGCTTCCAACTACCTGAAGCTTTACCAAGAAGAAAAGGCATTTCTATAGAGGAAGGCAGACGCATTTTACATGCTGGAATAGATATTAGCTGCGTTGGGAACCTCGGAGAACCTTTTGGTTACGTAACAAAGAGGTGACCAAGGATAGGACAAGACTATGCGACCAAGACTTGCTTTCTGCTTTGTTAAAAAAAAACAACGTCAGGGGAGCATTCAGGAGGAGGGAGGGGAGGAAATGCCTGCTGCTTTAACAACAAGCCAGTAAAAAAAGGAAATATGTGCACCAAGTAGGGGTAATTACGAATGTCCTTTGTTGGGCGTTCGGTGGACACTTGTCAAACCACCTCCTAGTTAGCTAAAAAGTACTTCCGTCCCACGTGTGGGCCACCACTGCATTCCGAAGACATGACCGTCAAAATGCAGGCGGCATTGATTTGTATAGCGCATTAGTAGCATCACACCTTCATGCCTTGACCTTAGGGACTCAGCTAACCTGTCGGTCGAGGGGTGAAAGGTTTTGAGAGAATCGGTGCTGGAGGTTTCACCTTAATTGGTTAAATGAGCGAAAAGGGGGTAGTTGATTGCGATTTCTCGCCAAAATAAATGTGTTTGCGTGTGCGTTTGCATGTGTGTTGATGACTCACATCAACATCACACGGAAATGTCCGCTGTCTTGGTTATGATATGGACAATGGAGGCAAATAAGGTAAGACAATCAACACTTAATCAAACATGCAATCGATCACTCTGCCATAGTAACCAAATATTAACGCATCAAATATGATATAAGGCTTTTCCAACAAGTAATGCTGAAAGGGTACGATTTGCTTTGGGCGAACATTTTACCTCCCGCAGGAGTTACAACCTCGGTCCAGCTCAAATGGTCATACTCTTGATCCAGGGTTACATCTATGGCAAGTAGATTGCAAGCCAAAAAAAACTCGGAAACCTATTCTCCCAGTTTGATAAACCTCCATCAAATGGACCACAAGACTACTTTAATGGTCTGGCTTGCAGAGTCAATCAACTCGGATGAGGTATTGTGATATGTGGGTGAAGTGATTACACCACGAAATCGTGTCCTCCAATCTCCTCTACGATTTGGGGCTAATTAAACCGCAAGCCACACATGAAGATACTCATACAAATTACGTGGTAATAATAGAGGTGAATTGGAGAAAAACAGTACCTCCTCCACATTTAGAGGAGACTAATGGGACCCAAAATAACGGTCAAAAGACGCTGTAATTTAAAAAAAAAGTGGGTAGGAAGGAATGCGTGATGAAATGGGTGTGTGAAACGGGCTCCAATTCTGTTGAAGTGCATTAGGTGGATGAGATTCACTTGATCAGACTAGGACGTTACAGACCGCAGAAAAACGATAGCCTCAAACCCAATAAAGCCGTTCACATGCATTGCAGACAGCGGGACCAACCGTTTTCCCTGCCTCTCCTTAACGAAAGGGTCGTGTGTGCTTCACACTGAAAAAAGCGTTCAAAATAAGCGACGGTCTTTGCCATTTTACCTGATTAACGCAAGGTCTTCCTAAATTACGTTCACTAGGCTTTAGTAATGTGGCATTTGATTCGCGTGGGAGTCGTCTAGCAGTTAGAAAGTAGGCATTTAAAATGATATAACATTGGCACCGTACTATTCAGAGAATGGAGGTACAAAGGTAATGCGTGTTGTTTGCCTTGCACCCAATATGAGCAAAAGCAAAGCCTGTAGGAATGCCTGAACCTGCAAACTTCTCGTGCCCGACCTTGAAATTGAGTCATTTTACACTGTCGAAAATAGGTTGCTGTGTCAACACGGGCGTAGGCGTGGATGTCTCGGTGGGTTTTGATGACGCCTAACCAGGGCACAGAAGTGGATACTATTACTGAAATGTCAGAAGGGAATGCCCTATGCGTTGTGTCTGTAACATTACAGACAGTAGATTTCCGGCCTTTCATTTTATTGCAACAGACTGGAATAAATAGATGATTAAAGAGGAAGAGAACACTTAACACGGAGGGGAAAGATATCGTCTCTATAAGTGACTGCTTTCTCCAAGAACTAGTGCCATTACTGATGTAGAAGAAAGCATAACACAAAATCAGTGAGTCGCCATTGCTACTATTTGCTCTAAAAAAATACCAAGCCAAAGTGGATTTAAAAAAACCACCTGCTTCATAGGGTAAGCATGTAGAAAAAATACACCCTTGTTTGCTCAAGTTTGTAAACGAAGCAAGAGGTTACCCAACCATAGAGAAAGAAGAAGACGAAAGTACGGTGAGAAGTCCTTAAGAAGTGCATTAAAAAGTTGTGGATGAACGACTTCTGTACACTCGATGCATTACATTATTCATTGGCCAAATGCCACCCAAATTCCAAGTCTATCGCAAGTCAAGCCATGCTGGTATGCATCGGCGCGCACTTCATCCATTTGTTCTTTCTTTTATCTCAGAACCACGCATCGGCTCACCCACCCATCTTCAACGCACGAAACTTTCATTTAGACATGTGGTTCTGATTCACTCACTACCCCTCTGTCCACCCATTGTCATTTACCTACAATGACTATCCTTTCCACGCTGTCTGGCTGTACCACACCCACATGTGGTGAGAGGGCGACCGAACAAACGGAGTTTCCCTTTACTCTGCATTCGTGTCACTCTCACTGGCACATCGGTCCAACCAGTGACCACCACTTTTCTTGCAGCATTCGCCACACCTCACTCCAATCTTATGCTTCGTTCACAGCGAAAAACAGGAACAAGGGGGGTGGGGGGTGGGGAGGGTGGGAGTGTGTCGGTGTACGGAAGAAAGCAACAATTAGCCTACCGCTGTCGCGTTGGAGGTGTCACGAGTGTGAGTGTAGTGGTAGCTAGAGGCTTGAACACACTCAACTCTCATTGGTTTCGCACTACTAACAACTGCACAAACTGAATCGG